TCAAATAAATCAATTAATTTAATAAATCAAATAAATCAGTTAATTCATATAAATTAAATAATTCAAATAAATCCAATAAATCAAATATGCATAAAATCACTCAATTAATTAAGTAATATAATATAAATAAATAAATAATTACTAAAATTGGGGTGTTACATCCTATATACTTAAAGAAATATCCAGAAGTACTTCTTTTGTCAACTCTGTCTCCACACCAATCAAAGTATAAATAACATATCAGCTTTGAATCAGATTTAGCACAAAAGGAAACAAAACTCCATACCTCATACTCCCCTTAATATACCTCAGTATCCTGCCAGCAGCTTGGTAATTTGACCATTTTTGCTTGTTCATAAACCTATTCATCATTTCAACTGTATAGCAGATGTCAGGCCTGGTGTTACCGAGATATCTCAATGAGCCTACTAATTATTTAGAAATTGTAGCATCACCCTCAAGATCAGAATCCAACTTGTGATTTGTTTCAACAGGTGTGATTACAGACTTACATTTTATTAGCTCAAATCTCTTCGGAATCTCAAGCTCATTCTTTAGCTGATGCAAAATTATACCATTATAAAAGTACATAATCTCCATCCTAGAACATATACCATATTTCCTAGATAAGTCATCTCAAACTCATTCATCAACACCTTCTTCAACTTGACTATCAAATCTGAATAGCTCCCTATTAGTAATATATCATCAACATAAAGACACACCAAAATCATATTGCTATCAGATGTATGTTGAACATAAACACCATATTCCATCTCATATTTTGTGAATCCTTGAAGCTTGAAAAATGAATCAATTTTCAAATTCCAAGCTTTAGAAGTTTCTTTCAGCCCATGCAAGGCTTTATACAACTTGTACATCATCCATTCCTTATTCTTGTTCACAAATCTAGGAGGTTATGACACATAAACTTTCTCTTGTAAAGGACCATTTAGAAATACAAATTTCACATCTAAATGTATCATAGGCCAATTTCTATTAGCAGCTATAGCAATCACCAATTTAATTATTTCATGTCTAGCTACAAATGCAAACACCTCAAACTAATCTAATCCAGATTATATAGAAATCCTATAGCTACTAACATTACTTTTTGTTCCAATTGATCCATCTGGCTTTAGTTTTAACTTGTAAACTCATCTCAAGCTTATGGTTTTCTTGTTCTTTGGAAGCTCAGTCAACTTCTAAGTTTTGTTTCTTTCTATATCCTCAAGTTCTTCTTTCATGGCCTTCAGCCACACTTTCTTCTTGAGATTATTTAGTACTGACTGGTTCAGAGTCTACCAACATGGAACACTGAATGACTTCCCATTTAGAGTTTATCTCAGTACCTTGCAACAAGTCAAACATTGCCAATCCTCTTGGTACTTATCTGATTCTTTATGGTTTTTGAACTTGTTCATAATATTCTTTAGATGCCGAAACATTATCAAATATTGGACTACCTTCAGAGGCTGGAGAATCTTCAGAGGCATGATTACCACCAGAGTCTGGATCAGAATCAGATTCTAGATCAAAATCAGATTCACCTTCAAAGCCAGACTCACCATCAGAATCTACTTCAGCATCATAGTCACCCTTAGACTTTGACTCGTCTTCAGTGGCATATTCTCCTTTAGAGTTTGAAATATCTTCAGAAGTTAACGCAGATGTTAACACTGCACCAAACATGGATTAAGACTTGTTCCAATCCCATGCATTTGTTTCCTTCACAATGACATCTCTGCTAAATTCAACTTTGTTAGTGGCTGGACAGTAGAGCTTATAAGCATTTGTATTGGACTACCTTCAGAGGCTGGACCACTTTCAGAGGCATGATTACCACCAGAGTCTGGATCAAAATCATATTCTAGATCAAAATCAGATTCACCTTCAAAGCTAGACTCACCTTCAGAATCTACTTCAGCATCATAGTCACCCTTAGACTTTGACTCGTCTTCAGTGGCATATTCTCCTTTAGAGTTTGAAATATCTTCAGAAGTTAACGCAGATGTTAACACTGCACCAAACTTGGATAAGACTTGTTCCAATCCCATGCATTTGTTTCCTTCATAATGACATCTCTGCTAAATTTAACTTTGTTAGTGGCTGGACAGTAGAGCTTATAAGCACCTGTACTGTGGTACCCAATCAGTAACATTAATTTGCTTCTATCATCCAGTTTCTTTCTAGTAGCACCTAGAACATGTTTGTAACATATAGGACTAAACACTCTCAAATGAATCACACTTTACTTATCTCTAGCCCACTTCTTAAAATGAACAATTTCCTTCAGCTTCTTGGTTGGCCACTTGTTGAGCACATATGTTGCAGTGACAACAACTTCTCCCCACAAGGTGTGTGGGAGCTTCTTCTCCTTCAGCATGCTCTTTGGGATATCAAGAAAAGTCTTATTTCTTCTTTCAACAAGACCATTATGTTGTGGAATATATGTAGCAGTCACCTCATGTTCAACTTCATTCTTTTCACAAAACATTTTGAACTCTGATAACTTGTACTCACCCCACCATCAATTCTGAGAACTTTCAGCTTCTGACCACTCTATTTTTCATCTTTCTCCTTGAAATTCTGAAATTCAACAAACACCTCATGCTTAAACTTGATGAGTGTTATCCGTGTCATTCTTATGAACTCATCCACAAATGACACAAAATACTTGTTTCCTCCAAGTGACTGTACTTCAAATGGTCCACATACATCAGAATGCACTACTCCCAAAGCATGTTTTGCTCTTTGAGCCACTTCTGATGCAAATGGAAATCTAGGTTTTTTTCCTTCCTTTTATGCATATCTCACATGACTTTTTAGGCTTCACAATCTTAGGAATGCCATAGCAGCTTCTTAGAACTCATATGTCCTAAGCTTCTAAAGTTCAGATGCCCCAATCTCATGTGCCACAACTCACTATCATCTTCAGCACCTTCTGCACTAAGGCATTTAGTTTTAGTTGTTTCTACATTCACGTTGAATTTTTTGTTGCTTCCCCGTTCATATTGCATAATTAACTTCTGATCAGAATCATACAACCTCAAGAGATTGTCCTTCATAGTAGCTGAGAAATATTTCTCAATTAGCTGGCCTACACTCATCAAATTTCTCTTCATGCCATGAACATACCAAATATCTTTGATCAAAACAGTTTTTCCATTCTTCACTTTGACTTTAACATTTCTCATTCCTTCATCATTAAGGTACTTGTCATCAGCACATATGGTATATCCCTCTTTTTAGAGTCAAAATTAATCAGTCATTGTTTGTTTCCAGTTAAGTGATTTGAGTAGCCAGTGTCCATATACCACCAATCTACCAAATATCCACCATTAGATTCATAAGTCATCAATACCAAAAGTTCATCATCAAACTCTCATATGGCTATGTTTGCTTCTTCTGATTTCCTTTCTTTGTTTGACTAATGGTCAACAACAAAATGATAAAACTTCTTACAATAGTAGCATTGAACTTTTTTCTTGTCAAACTTCTCCTTTCCCTTCTGATTTTTATTCTCATCAGAGTTGGAGGCTTCTGACTTCTGATAAACACCACCATGTCTCTTCTTGACCTCTGACTAAGACTACTTCTTATTCTTCTTGCCAGAAGATGCTTTCAGATCCTGCTCTACATCTCTTTTAGAGTTTCTCACAGTTAGACGTAACTCTTGTGCCTCTAGACTACTCTATAACTCTTCAATTCTCATGGTGTTGAGGTTCTTAAAGTGTTCAACTGCTACAAGAATGTAATCAAACTGAGGAGTGTGTGATCTTAGTATATTTTCAATGATTACTTGTTCAGAGAGAGTTTCTCCATAATATTTTATCTCATTTGTGATCAGAATCACCCTGGAGATATAATCAGGTACATTTTCATTGTTCTTCATGTTGAGATTCTCATACTACTTACGTAGAGACTAAAGTTTCACCTTCTTCACTAATGCATCATATGTGTCCCACACAGTCTTCACCGTCGTTGAATTAGAAATCTTCTCAAACATATTCATATACATACACTGATGGATATAGAGCAACACTTTTTGCTATGTCTTCCTTGTTTCTCTATTCGTGTTTCTTTGTGTATCAGTTACATCTGCTGCAATCTCCATGTAACCGTCATTAACGAGATCAAGAGTATCTTGAGCGTTAAACAACACATGCATCAAAATCATTCATTAATTTCAATTCTTTCCATAAAATACTGGAAGCTTTGTATTCAAACTACAGTTTCCGCCGCTCATCTTTGTTCTTGGGAAAATTCACTCAAAACTCATTGTGAATTAAATGAGCAAAATCAATCGCACAGGCCTCATGTACGTTCGTGTTTCTCGTTCTTGAATCTGAACCAAAGCTCTAAATACTAACTGTTGGAGCACGAGATTAAAGATAAAAAAGATGGAAGAGACGAAAAATTTTATAACTAAGTTTTTACTCTCTATTTGAAAATGGTTACAATGAATTCTTTCTCAAACTAAACTTGGTTACACAAGTTATACCACAGAACCTATTAAATGAAATTCAAATTAATTCTAAATGCAACTAATATAAATTTGAATGTCACTTCAACATCATTGACGGTAACACTTGGGCTCTCACTCTACTACCTCCATATAGAAATATTATGGGATGCAAATAAGTCTATAAAGTTAAAGAAAATCCTATTTTAACTCTTAACTAGTATAAATCTAGGCTCGTTTCTAAAGCATATCATCTAAAACAAGGGATTGATTTTAATGATACATTATCCTCATTGGTACAACCTACCACAATTCGTGTTAATATCACTCTAACCCTCACTCAAAATTTGAAAAATACAATCATGTAATCAATGTCCCCTAAAATCTTCAAATGTAATTAATTATATGAGATAGAAAAGAAAATAATTGTCACAAATGTAATCTTCTTACTTTCTTTTATTCAACATAATCAATTAGATCAGTATTATCTAGCAGCTAATATTCATTAACTTATTGATTTTTCTCAAAAATGTAGGTTCAGCTTGGACAATGCTATCAAGATCTTTTGTTGAGTATTGCATCATAGGCTGGGAAAATTTGCCAAGAACCCTACTTCTCTACTACACAAATTTTGTGTCATCACCAGAAGGATATTTCCAAACAGTTATATGCAATTCTAAACACTACAAAAACACAACAGCCAATAGTGATCTACACTACATTACTTGGGACAATCCTCCAAAACAACATCCAAAATCTCTAACACTCAAAGATTATAAGAAAATGGTTTTGAGCAATCGTCCATTTGCTAGAAAGTTCAAGAAAAATGATAGCGTGCTTGATAAAATTGATAGAGAGCTTCTGAGAAGAAATCGAGGACAATTTTCTTATGGAGGATGGTGTTCATCATTGTCACAAGGTGGAAAGTACAGATCATGTCATGGTTTGAAAATTGAGAATTATGGTGTTCTTAAACCTAGTTTGGCCTCAAAAAAGTTGAAAAGTATGCTCTCAAATATTCTTTCATTTAAGAATTTTCATAAACAACAATGTCGATAAATTCAATTTCAATTTCATGGGTAGTTTGGTTTGATTACTTGTAAAGAATGTTGTTTTATAATGGAAGTTTTTTTTTGTGACATTTATATTAATATGATTAGAATATAATCTATCTATTTTTTATTAAGGTTGATAGTAATTATTTAATTTATAGTATACAAGAGTTCGAGTTCTAAATGTTATATTATTGTAATGATTTCATTGGTGTGTAATATAAAATATATTTGTAAATTTTTTTCATATTTTTTTCTAACCATTCTACACCCCAAAGCTACTAAAGGTATGTTTGATTTACAAATGAATAAGTACTAACAAAATGGACTAGTGGTTGATAAAGTATTAACGTAATCCAATAAACCATACAAAATTGAATTCATTCTTAATCATGCACTTTTTAGTGGATTTTAAAAATACTATTAAAATATAAAATAATACATTTTATGATCAAATTTTCACCTTGACAATTAAAAATCGAGGTCAAATAATTTAAAACGCTTTATTTTTTTGTAAAAAAATTAAATCTTATTTTTCGGTTTTGTAGAAAATCGACAGAAAATACAGTTCAGAGTTTGAGCTTCGATTCTCAACTCCTACAATTTTGTGCTTTATTCAGAACCAAAATGACGCCCTTATTTTATAAATTATTTTATCCTTCGGTTTTCTAGAAAATCGACACTACTACAAATAACTCCATTTCACCTCGGACACGAAGGAGATATAACAGCGGTTACACAAGCGAGGTAACGAAGGGCGTCATGAAAACTCTCCATTATACCTCTCGGTTTCAGAATAATCGAGGGAATAATTGAAATGGTCATGAGTTCGATCCCCAACAACAATATATTTATATTTACAAAACTACCGCCGCATAATCGAGGAAAATTATTTTTTTAAAATACAAATTACAATGTTTACACTCAATATTAAAGTAAATTGTTTACACTAAATATTAAATATTTAGTGCAGTGTGAAGGGTAACATTTTGTGTCAATCATTGTAGTTTTTTTTATATCTTTTACAGGATCCTCTTGATGTTCTTATTGGCGACTTCAATAGTGTCTTTAATCTTTAGGCAATATGGGGAAGAGTTATAGTGCTCAATCTCAAAGCTCTTGCATTATTCTTTCATCGTTTTATTGTTCAAGTTTGAACCATTATCTGTGATGATCCTGCTAGGAACACCATAGCGACAAATAATCTCCTTCTTGAGAAAACGGGCGATCACTTACCTCGTCACGTTGGTGTAGGAAGCAGCTTCTGCCCATTTGGTGAAGTAATCAATGGCGACCAAGATGAAGCGTTGACCATTGGAAGCTTTGGGCTCCATGACGCCAATCATATCGATGCCCCACATTGAGAAATGCCAAGGCAATGTCAAAACATTCAACAGCATCGGCGACACATGCACTTTGTTAATATAAATTTGGCATTTATGACACTTTCTGGTATAGTTAAAACAATCAGACTCCATGGTAAACCAGTAATAACCAACTCTCAAGATCTTCTTAGCCATTGCATGTCCACTAGCATTGGTTCCAAAGGATCCTTCATATGAGCCTCTTTGACCGACATGTCTGCTTCATGTCTATCCACACAAATGAGCAGAACCATGTCGTGATTTCTCTTGTAAAGCACGTCATTTCTTAGGAAGATTTTGGATGCTAATATTCTTAGAGTTTTCTTATCTATGGTCGTAGCGTTCGTTGGATACTCCTGATTTTGCAAATAGCATTTGATGTCATGAAATTAAGGTTTACCATCAACTTCCTTTTCAATTGATTGACAATGGGTTGGCTCGACTTTCTGCTCCACTACGATGATCGGGGATTCATTGTGAAACCTAGTTTGGTACGTTGAAGATAATGTAGCCAAAGGATCTACCACTTGATTTTCTGCTCTCGGGATATGATGGAAAATAATATCATCAAAGTACTCCATCAATTTCATGACATAGACTCGATATGGGATCAACCTGGCATCGCGAGCTTCTTATTTCCTTTGACTTGGTAGATTACCAGGGCTGAGTCCCCATACACCTAAATATTTTTGATGCAGATGTCGATTGCAGCTTCAATACCAAGGATGCACGCCTCGTATTCTACTATGTTGTTTGTGCAATCGAAACACTGTCTTGTTGTAAAAGGAGTGTAACCGGCTTCAACGGAGATTATAGTCGCTCCAATTCCATGTCCAAGGTAATTTGAGGCACCATAGAACATAAGTTTCCATCGAGATCTTGGTTCGGGTCCTTCCTCGGGGTCTGGGATTTCATAATATTTTATTGCCATAATATCCTCTTCTGGGAAGTCAAATTTGAATGACTGGTAGTCTTCAACAGGCTGGTGTGCAAAGTAGTCAGACAAAACACTCCCTTTGATAACTTTCTAGGTTATGTACTGGATGTCGTACTCAGACAATAGCATCTGCCAATGGGCAAGTCTTTTGGTTAAGGCAAGCTTTTCAAAGTGGTACTTTATTAGATCCATTTTGGAGTTCAACAAAGTAGTATGACAAATAATATATTGTCTCGGATGGTGAGCGGCCCATGCTAGAGCGCAACAAGTTTTCTCTAAGAGTGAATATCTGATTTCACAAACAGTAAATTTTTTACTCAAGTAGTAAATAACATGTTATTTTTTACCGGTTTCATCATGTTATCCCAGCACACATCCCACTGACTCTTCAAGCACCATCAGGTACATAAAGAGTGGCTTCCCCTGAATAGATGGAATCAGAATAGGAGGCTCTTGTAGGTTGTCATACCCCAATTTGATCTTGAATTGCTGAATAAATACAGTTATCATGACATATGCATTATCTGCATAGTATAGCATACATTTCATCTCGCATAATGCCCAAATTGTCAGTCAGAATATTTTTTGGATTTACAGACAGACCGGTCAAACTGAATATCAACTGTGCATAAAATCAGTGGACAAAAAATTTCAAAAATTGAGCTTGCAGACATCAATTATATTAATCTACATCTCACGTAGTTTAACTTAGGGTGATTGTTTTAATTTTTTACTACTATTTCGGTCGCATTTTGATCAGTGTGAGCCTTTTAACTCGTCATATTTTATTTTAAAAATTGATCAAACGCTGCATTTTTTCAATAGGTTTATTTCGCGCTGATCATTTTAGTGCATTTATTTTAATTTTTCGAGCACTTTCATGTCTGACTTTTATTTATTTTGAGTCCGTTTATTTTCATTTTTTTCATTAGAATATTCAAAATAATTAAATATGAATTAGTTGTGGTTTCACTTTAATTTTATTTTGATTATTTTAACATATTTAAATTTTGTGTGTTCAATTTATTTTAATTCATTTTATTTCACTTTTTATCACTAAAAAATCAAAAGGGGCATTATTTTCATTTTTTTTTGTAAGGTTGGAAAACATTGGTATTGTATTGTTGTGAAAAAATCCACACAAAAAACGCCTCCCTCATCTGTCACTCCCTCTCTCTCTCTCTCTCAATTCAAAATGATACCTCAAATAGACCCACAATATTGAAATTGAAAAAAGGTGAGAAACTCAGACACATGAAAATAATACTTCACTTTACCTCTCTCCTCTCACATTAAAAAGAAAAAAGAAAATAAAAGTGGAGAGAAAGAAAACGCTACGAGGGGACCACCAACCTCCATTTTGATTTCATCATCCCACTATAATTTCTACCATATTCTTCTCATTTATACCACCAATCAGTATCCATCTCTGGGGGTGTTTAAAAAAAAGAAAAAAAGTCGAAGAAGAATGCTTCGCATCCTTCATGTTCACGTACAAATCTCTCTCTCTCTCTCTCTCTTGCAATGAAAAATGATGGAAAAAATCTTTAGTATAAACTATTCTCAATCATCCTACAAACCTTCCATATCACCTTATTTTTGAAATCAAAACCCAAACATCTTCAAAATACCACCATGAAAATAGTACAAGTTTCATAACATATACTCACTCTACTTCTTTCATTTTACTGCAACCAACAACAACCTTGCAAAATAAAACTCACACATCTTCTTCCTACTATACAAACTATTTTTATCACACTTCCACCCCCCATTAAAACCATTATAAAAACAACCATAGAAAACTCACATAATCTCCTTAACATACATCATACTCCATCTTCCCTTTCATCTCCATTTGAGTGAGTTTTCCTTTCATTCAAACCATTAAAAAAACATCATCAATACTAGCTCTCACTCTCCATCAACAACAACATTAACCTTTTCACTCTTCTACTCAACACAAACCTTCATCAAACTCTTCTTCTCCTTCCATGCCACCACTTTTCCAAACCATTACAACTCCTCCTTGCTTCAATTCCACGCCCTCACAACTCAGCCATAAACTTCATGTAAAAACAACCACCTTGCAATGTAAAAACAACCACCATATAGTGTAAACACATCACTTCCATCAATAAAAAGCTCACCACAAAACATGGTCAACATTGCACACTCTACACATCCGTCACCCCTCATATATTCCTACGGTTCAAGCAAAAATATTTTACCTTCTTCAATAACAAACTGCACAACACACCGTTATTTCATCAACATCTTTAGTCCATAACATACACAACAACCAACTTTAAACATCTTCTAAAACTTAAAATCACAATACGAAACAACCATAACTCAGTAGCATATTCACCACGACTTACTCTTTCAACCACCCCAAAACCATTTTTCACTCTTCCTCACCCCCGTGTTTGAATCAACCACAATCAACACAATGATCGTCGTGTGCCACTCCACCTCCCTCCGCCGTCGTTCAACTCTTCTCTCGCCGGAGTGGCTTGCTCAACCACGAATCTCACCGCTCATGACGTCAAGCCCGTCGTCGCTGCATATCGCCACCAGATCCGTATTTCTTCCGTTCGGTATTATTTCTCACTTTATTTTCATTGTTTATTTTTGCTGATTAATGATGATTTGTTGTTCTGTGAGAGTAGAAAAGAGTTTGCTTATTCTTCATTTTGTGAAAAA